TCTGTCCTCTCTTCTGGGGATGCAGAAATGGCCAAGCTACACTGCAGAGACTGGTTAGGCCCAAGGCCAGGCCTCACTAGGCAGAGATCCCAGTGTCCTTTTTACTTCATCTCCAGGATGCTCTGGAATGCTGCTGCTGCTGCTGCTGCCTGGCAACAGGTTGCCTGAAACTTGGGGGCCAATGGGGTGGGGGTGGGGAGGATAACACTGCCACTTTCAGGCAAGAGACAAAAGGTGTTATTGTGGCCCAAGAACGAATGTAGCACTCAGCAGAGCCTGCAACCTGAGGACTACTGTGCATTGCCCTGCAAATATCCCTTCTGCCTCCCTGTCCTTCTGGCCAACCAAGTGGCATTCCTGTCACTGAACGAAGGGCAGGCCCCTGCTCCCTTAAATTGCTGCAGCATCTTTGCATTGATGATGACAGGCAATTTTCAACATCCTTTCTTCGGAGTGTTCCTTGGAGGCAGACCAGAACAAAAAAGAAGAAAAAGAAAAGCCCCTCGATGTTGAAAATTACAATCACAAATAAAAATCAGAACAGTGCTCGGAGATGTTCTCTGAATCATTTTCTCAATAGGTAGAGAAGAGGAGAGAGATGCGATGCATACTAATTGGCTACAATGGAGAGAAAAGGCACAGGCTGCAGAGACTCATGCCTGAAATTACTCTCAACATTTCCCTTCACATCCACCCATTTTCCCTGGGATGGGACTAATGAAAATTTCTCATAGACAAACCCTCAGTACAAGAGTACATCCATAAACGTAACACTCCAGTGTAACAGATAAACACATAGTTGGCTCAAAGTGAGATTTAAAATGTACATTTTAATTATTAACCTAGCTAATCATCTGGCTGCAATAATCCTCCTACCCAGCTAGTGATATTTAATTCAGTTTCGCAGAGAGCCTGTACAGCATGGATGTACAACCAGTGGACTATGGACACAAAGCCCTGAGATCTCACTGGCCCCATTGTTGCATCCCCCCAGACCTGTCCTCCAGATGGGTTGGACTACAGCTCCCGTGGTTCCAAGTCCACATGGTTGGCAATGTGAGTTCATAATGATGGGAGTTGCATCCCAAGACATCTGGACGGCATGAAGCTGGGAAGGCCCAGGTTAGGCTTTCAAACCTTTGCATGTCTACCTACTTCTCTGCCTGAATCAGCCTCTTTCTTAGGGAATGGCCATAGCATACTGGGGTATAGAAGTCCCCAGCTTCTCCAAACGGAGTGTAGGACTTCTGTCTGAAACTGGGAAGGTTACTGCTTGAGATCAGGAACCATTCTCTGTAATCAATCAGTGATGATCTAAGGCTAGAACTGAATCTTTTAGATCTCTGGGTGATTTGCACTAGGTCGGCAAAGATTCCTTGCTCTCAGTTGCTTAACTATATAGCAACAAAACAATTTCTCTTTCTCCTGTCTTTGCTCTTGCAAGGAACAAAGCTTGAGATAATCAGGATTGTGGAAGGACTACAGGATTCACTCACATTCATCATTTCTGAATCCTTGAATTCTAAGCATGCATCTTTAGCACCAGGCTCTCACTGGTGGATATCGAGATTCTAGTAAGAGAAAGCCTGTTCCATGAGCCTGAAGTCTGCCTGGTCCTGAGGTAGACAATACTGACCACTCTTGGTATGAGGCAGCAGCTTCCTATCTTCCTCTTAAATAAATTAACCCAGAGGTTTGCCTGTATTACAGTGGTGACTTATTTCCTGAATAGATCGAAGCAATGAATACAAGCTTATGGGACAAAGAGTGCACGCTTATGTGAAGAGAAACAGGATGACATTGTCAGGGCCATATTCTCCCCTTTCACTTATTTATTTATTTTTAATAGGAAGGCGAGAACTCAGCTCTGGAAACACATCACCTAATATCTTATCATTTGGTAGTTGTCTGCTGGACAGCCTCCATGTTTAAAAAGTTATGGGCTGAAATTATACGATGCAATATGAAACCAGGGTCCTTGATTCATGATCATCCTTCACGAGTGCAGTGCAGTACTAGGAGTAATGGCTACCCAGTGAGGGGCACACATGTACAAACCCCCCGTGTTTTGTTTTTCAAACTAGGAGCCTGGAAAGACTCCTGTGTAGATCCTCTTGTAATTGCAGCATCAACAAACCTGCTCAGGAGGAATGGGAGTGAAGGGTGGGTGTGAAGGAGAGGGCAACTTTGAATGCCAGGGCTACTTCACACAGGCAAGGCAGGTGCATAGAATTTCAACAGGCTTCCTCCTGGAGAAACTTCAGTATAAACCAGGCATATACTATATAGTCAACTGCATGACTGCTGTGGCACTTTAAATGATCCTATACAGGAGAGTTTACCCTAAAAATAATCACACAGCTGTTTGAATGTATGTTAATCATCTTCTATTATGAAGATATCAGTTCACATCAATCTGCCACCAACTGCACTGAGCTTTCATTTTCATTTGGACACCTGCATGCCTCCTGGCCATAGAAGTGGGGCTGGAGGAGCTCCTCTCTCCAAAGCAGCATAGATCACCTAAGGATGCGAACTTAAAATGCCACTGCTTTGTTTACTCAACAGAGATTTCAGATGATGGGAGAAGCGAGGTTTGTAGGAAATGAACAATCTGCAAACAACTGGGGGTCAGGAAAAAGGCAGCTCACGGTCGGTCGCAGGCATACCCATCTGAGGAACCCTGGAAGGTGGAATTGGGCTTCTGTGCTTGAGGTTCTTTTTCCCTTTTCTAGGCACTGCAGTTTTATACCGACAGAGATGAGCACCGTCCCCTAGAGTCAGACATGACTGGGCTTAACGTCAAGGGGAATCCTTTACCTTTTATTCCTTATTTTGTAACTGGAAGCATTACTGGCCTCCAGGAGCTTCTCTCTAGTGCAAAATAGCAGAGGATTTCAAAGGTGCAGTTGTGGAGATGGGTGGGCAAATTGAAACCACCAAGGGAAGGATCATTCTATGAAGATAAAAAGAAAGGCTGTGAAGGCATAAAGTGCCCCATCAGCTGGTGTGTCCATTGGTACCTCCCACTCCATAGCTGGTGTTTTGAGTTGGCAGGAGCAGCCCTTCCATTAATTTTAAAGTTTAGAGGCCTATTTATGAATGTGCTCCAGATAAAATGCACGCAGTTGTTTGTAATAGCTCAGAACAGTCTCCTACTTCCTGGCAAACTTTAGATGTACTGGACTGCAATGGGGAATAAAGATGAGTATTATTACAGTCCATCAATGAAAGGCAGGAGGCTGACTTACTGAGGTGCAGGTGGCTCCTCAGGAATCATCACATGATCTGAAAATGGCAGGGCTGTGGCGGCCAGGAGGCCTTTCCACCTGCTCTGGCACCTACGTAGCTGGGTTTGCTTATTCCACCATGTACAAGCTGTATGGTCAAAGACCTCTCTCTGCTGGACACTTTCCTTCTCTCAGTGCCACAGTTCCTGGGCTGAGGTGAAGGTGATTTCAGTATCCCCATACCCTCCTCTTCAGCTGTCCTACATGTTTGGTATCCTTAAGCTACCTTTCTACATCAGAACTCTGTTTTCCACACAAGGCAATTATTTATCTTGACTCAGAAAGTAACTCACAAAGCATATAGCCAAGTTGGGAGACATGGAAGCATGCATCTCATTAGTTTGACCTCCACCCCATAGTAGGAGGTACATCTGATACTCTGCTATGAGTATGTTCCATTGGGGGTGGTGGGATGGAAGTTAACTAGAAGTTGAAATACTTTGAAGTATAGATCTCGTTTTGTAAATATAAATTAGTATTTATTTCTAGAAATGGTCCTTCTCTCAACAATAAAACTGCATGCCCAACTATGTATTTCATTTTGGGAGATGATATATGCCAGCCACACATTTTCTACATGGCACTAGGGAAGGATAATACAAGAGAGAAGTGTCCGGAATATTGTGCCACCAGCCAGGTGAAACTGCTTGTTCTCTGTTGGCTCAGGTCACCACAGCAGGCAAGTTGGTCAATACCTGCAGCCACTGTGCCATCCATCCATCCATCCATCCGTCTGTCCGTCCGTCCGTCCGTCCATCCATCCATCCATCCATCTACAGTGGTGCCTCGGCTCACAAACGCCTTGATTCACAACCAAATCGGGTCACAAACAAAAATTTCATGAAAATTTTGACTTGGGTCGCGAACTCCACATTGGGTGGCAACCAATATCGCAGCCATCTCCCCACCCCCCCCCACCCCCGAGTGGAGAGATGGCCACGATCAGTTGCGTTCATGCAGGGAAGACGTGCGTGATCACGGGCGCACTCCTGCAGGAAAGATGGACACAATCTTGGCCATCTCCCCACCCACCACAACCAGCACGATCGCGGCCATTTTCCCACCCCCACCCGAGTGGGGAGATTGCCACAATCGCAGTTGCATTCGTGCAGGGAAGACATAGAGGAGTGATGACAGAACTTGCTGAACTCCAGAGTGAGCAGCAGAAGGCACTTGCTGAGGAGGATTCCACTGAGGAAGAGGAAGTCAGGGAGGAGGTTAGCAGTGATGTGATACAATCCATTATGAAAAAATGGAATGAGTGCCAGGATTTCTTTCAGAAGCACCACCCCAACATAACTGTAATGAACAGTGTTGAATCTGATGAACAATAACGTGGTCTCTCATTTCCGGAGGGTTATGCAGCGCAGGAAGAAACAAGTGACTATAGACAAGATTTTTCACCAAAATTGACCCTGCAGCTAAGAGACAAAGAAGAGAGGAAACCCCTGAAGGAGATCTTCCAATGTCCTTATGGAGGGGGACTCTCCCTCAAAACAATAATCTGCCCCCCACCTAGGTTAGTGTTCTCCACTGTACTGTACAGTACTTTGTTACTTTGTTGTTCTTTGTCACTTTTTTCCAAATTTTTCTGATTAAAAAAGTTACAGAATGGATTAACATTATTTACATTGAACTTTATGGAAAAATTTGATGGGTCACAACCAATTTGGGTCACAACCAGTCGTGGAATGGATTAAGTTCATCAGCCAAGGTACCACTGTATTTATTTAACTTCTTGTCATTCCATCATAAATTGGCACTCAAAGTGGCTAACGATACACCCAAATTAAAGCCCAAATCTTACATTGCAATGTTACATAAAAACAAATACACATCTGCATGCTCAGTATACATAGGCCAGCTTTCCCCAACAAGGAAACCTCTAGATGTTTTGAACGTCAGCCCCCATCTGCTCCAGCAAGAATGGTCAATGCAAAGGAATTCTGGGAGCTGCTTTCCAAAAACTGAAGAGGCCACCAGGTTTGAAAAGTCCAATATAGGTGGTACTTTTAGCTCAGTAGTTTGACAGGCAGCAGGTCTCTAAAATTTCAAGTGAGCACTTTTTCCAGCACTACTAACTGAGATCTTTTCAACAAAGATGAAACAACCAGATGCTTCTAATTATAAACAGCAACAGAAGCACTGACCCACTATGGTGGTTGTAGAGATCCCAAACCCAGCCTCACCTAACCCATTCAAACAGATAAATATACCATACATTTCACCAGGTGCCATGTGGTCACATACCTGCATACTTTAATGTTCCTGAGTGTACCTCTACCTTCCCAGAGCATATCCATTCCATTCTTTCTCTGGCACACATGAGAAAGGGATAGGTTTGGGTGTACATTTCACTGTGCTCTAGGCCTGCCTATCAAGTGACATTAGCCTGGTCAGAACAGGTAGAGATAACCTGTTATTCTGCAGCCAGAGCAGCAGCACAAAGAAATGTAAACCTGGGGATACTTGCTTGTACAAGCAGCATTGTGCTTCTAATATTCATGTGTAACAGTTCCATCCAAAATGTTTAAATAGGTAGTATAGGGAGGGAAACTGGGGAGGAGGCACCTGCATTGATAAGAATTCTCAAACTCAGTTTGATGAGAGTAACACTGCCTATTCTGTACCTAAACACTATGTGAAGCAACAATCATTTCTACGCTAGCGCTCTGAAAGAATTAAGCAAAAATCAGAGTTTAATATGGAAAAAGGAAACGCTAGCAATGAGGGATTCACCAGATAAACCACCGAATCCACAGCTATTCTAGCAATCCTAACTTTAAGCCAAAGCATCCACCAGCTTGCATTGTGTGATAGAAAGTTTATATAGTCTTCTAAGGCTATTAAATTCCAAAACACCACATCTTAGAAGACTATGGCATTGTTAATATTGCAAGCTCATAATCCCATTAAAGTATGTGCTTCCTCAGAAAGAGAAATACTACAATACAGTGGAACTCAACTAGCAATATAGGCCTCTTAAACATGTAATCCTATGCATGTGGAGAGAGAAAGAATTCTTACAATTCTCAACATTCTTCAGGCAATCATGTTCACTGGGGAATGCTGGGAACTGTGTAACTTTTATTGGCCTAACCATGCATATGATTGTGCCCTTTAGATGGATGCTGTAGTCTGGACACATGTACTTCAGCTGCACAACAAAGCACTTGACATCTCTCTAGAATATAAACTATTGTGCCATAAGCTGGTTGCAACATGCAGCCTTTAAAGAATGTTTTATAAGGGAACTAGTTTTCTCTCGCCGGTTTCTAATGCAATGTCATTAACTTATGAAGCATTAAATGAATGGCTTCTTTCAGTCTATTGCACAATAATCCTCCAGTATGTCAGGTTTCTCACAATCTTCCTCTTCCTCGCATTAGATAAGTCCATAAACACTTCTGCAAACTACGTTTAAGTTTTCTTTTTAAAAGGTAGTATAGACAGCTGGGGTATCTACACAAAGACAAAGCCATTGTGCAGCATACAGATTGTTCACTCTATTATTTTCGGAAATAAGGCACTGAAAAATCAAGCTAGTAAAATTCTTGTACTTAAAGTCATATAAAAAATTCCTCTTCCTCTCCATGGCTTGCTCCTGAGGTTCTCAAGTGAAAACTTGACTGTCTCTGTTCTACTTCTGTACAGCTTTTGGCAATATGCAGTGATGGAGTGCTTCTGTTCTCTGAGTGCAAGTGGATTTTGGAGTGAGCTCCCGTAAATGAGCAGCATGGTGCCTGGGGTTGGAAAAGTCCATTTTGCAAGTCCTTTGAAAACCTATTTAGTGGAGAGTTACTGCATTCGGAAGATGCCACTCTGTTGCCTGTATCAACATTAGTCTCCTCCTCCTCCTGGCTCAGCCAGAGTTCATGGCTAGAATATCTCCACTTAGTGCCCAGGTTCACCTGGGAAGAGCTTAGGTCCTGCAGAGAAGAACCTGCAGGGCTACAAGGCTGGGAAGAAGAGCAAAAATTGCTTTGTGAGGGACTGCCGAGGCTTCCCGGAGCATGCGCCATGCCTCGTGTGGATTTGTTTTTATTCTTCATGGCTCGAAGTGTCCGTGTTTTCTGCTGCACCACAGTTCTTGTGGTGGCTACTGGGGATGGACTAGAGCAGGAGATGGGGGCACTGTTCTCAGGTGCACTGTGGTGGCAACTGGAAGATGAAACCCGGTCTCCATTGTGCTTAGAGCTGCCTTGAACCTATGAAAGAAAAGGAAAATTAATTATAGCCTAGCATCAGTAATGCAATCAGGTTCTCACCTGATCATGTGAAGGCATCACCCATACATCAATAATTGAAGAGTTCTGCTAAGAACCACCTGGGGGGGGGGGGTCCAAATGTAAACTGGAGCTTCTAGCTTATCTGTCAACATGGTCTATCTTTTTAAGCACCTTTGTCTGGAGAATCTTTTTTATTTGCCACTGGGTAAGAAAAAGTCTAGCCATTTTCCAAAAGTGTTTTAACATTTTGTTGTGCTTTAATGGCTGAAAACTACAGCTGTATGATGCATTTCTTATCTGACTTCAATGAACAATTTGGCAGCTTTGTATGAATCAAATTGTTCTGTTAATGTTATAACTCCAGATGCAGGCAGAATAAAAACTTCAATCATTTTCTATTTTAAATCAAGTTATAGATACCTAAATATCCCAACTCTAGAATACAAATACAAAGAATACAAAATACAATATAAATATATGCAATATATATTTGGATAATGTGGATAACTAGTTGTGGAATTTGCAACACCAAATAGTCTAAAACAGAGCCAAACGAGACATTAAGTGTACTTTAAAAACAAAGAAACAAATTTCAAAGTAGGTACAATGGGTCCAATATCTAAAGCATGGGTCCTCAAATTACGGCCCACGGGACGGATCCGGCCTGCCATGGCCTTCCAACCAGTGTGCGCCATCAGGGAGGTGGTGGCTTGCTCACCTGGAGATGGTCTCTGAGTGAGCAAGCCGTTGCCGCAACCTGCCTCCCGTATGCGTGCGCTCGGAGATGGTCTCCAAGCGAGCAAGCTGCCGCCACCGCCTGCCTCCCGTACATGTGCACTCGCTGCTGCCTTGCAGCGCGAGTGGGGAGGTGGTGGCTCGATCGCTCGGAGATGGTTTTGGACTCGCTAGATCTCCAAGCGAGCGAGCCACTGCCACACAAGTCCGATGCTGCCTCACATGCCCCCGCACCCCCACCTCACTGGCCCACGACAGTCACCGCAGCCTTTCAACTGGCCCCCTATTGCAAAAGTTTGAGGACCCCTGATCTAAAGCCTCCTTACCAAATAGTGGGCTCTATACGAACACTAGAGTAAAATGAAGGAGAAAAAATGAAGGGGAAAAAGAGCTACAAGACACGCCTTTAAAGTAATGTCAGTTTTGGCTCACAGCTTGTGTAATATGAAGATAATTTCTTTTCTTTGAAACTACTGCCCTTTACTGCTTTCAATTTTCCTACAATAAACAAAAGTTGGGCAGGAATAATGCTTAGTTGACAGTGTACACCATTTATAAAGAAAATCATACCTGGAGCAAGATCTTGTTCCCTTCATAATCTTCTGTTTGCCACCTAGTGCTGCTTATAGGAACACAAGGATTAGGCAGAAGTGGAACCAGCTGCCCAATTTCATGCACCTTGAACTGCAACACCGAAGACTCCTTTGAGTCGACACACACTCCTAGAGGCAGCTGCTTCAAGCAGAGCTGAACTGCAATGCTTTGGGTCGTGTACAGCACAAAGGCACAGAAGCTGCTTTTTTGCACAGCAGCTTCTCTCTGCAAGATCATCTCATACAGCCTGACTGCATCCTCATAGTTGTCAAAACTACAGTAAAGTGTGACACGCAGAATTTCTGTGCCATAATGAACCTGCCTCAGTCCCCATACGGGCATGTGCTCGTCCAGCCCATAGAAGTCCTGAAGGGCATAGGGAGAAAGCTGCCCTTTCTTGGCACTTTCAATGTGAACACGCTGCCACGGTGGGTGCTGGAAAAAGCCATGGACTTGGAAAATCCGTTCTTCCCCAAAGTCCTCATGCAAAAAAAGCAGAACAGATGTCCCGGGGAACCTGGCGCTTTTTTGGCGGTGGGTCTCATAATATTTCATTGGAGAGGTGCGCTCTGATACAAGGAAGAGACGTAGGTCCAAGCAGATCCATTCTTGAAGTTGATCAAGGGTCTTCTGCAAGAGTAATGCATGGCCAGATCTGGCAAGCAGGTGCACAGTCATCACCAAGGAATCTGTCCTCCCATCCATTATACGGTGACCTTGAAATATAAAATATAATTGCTACTTCTGTGCCTCTATCACTCGCTCACATAAACACCATTTTTAAAAAGAATAAAATTACACTTCTCAGTCAGTTCCAAATAAGCAGCAATATGGCACTAACACAACCTTGTTTTTATTACCTGCATCTTGGATTTCAAGGGGCACATCACAGAAGGAGAGGGGGAATGGGGAGCTCTCCTATCTCTTAAGGTCCCGACATCAGTTTTACTTATGATAGTCAGCACCACTGCAGATTCCTAAATTCACAGCACCTACTCCAAGTTTTCTTTTACTGTGAAATATTACAAAACCTGGAAAGAATAATGTTCAGTTGTCCAGAATCAGAATCATATAAAATATCTCTTTCTAAGGCATTTGTATCATGCCAAAATGTCCTCTCCTGCCATGCTATATAAAATTGACAAATGAAATGTAGTCAGTCCTTTACAGCCATTGAACTTGCTGATCCTGCTGCCATCTCAGAGCCAATGGAAGGTGATGCTCATCTGTTTTGAAGACTGCACACCATCTCTTCCTTCCTTCCTTCCTTTCTTCCTTCCTCTCTTTTTATCTCTGTGCCAAGCCATGATTGTGGGAGTTGGTTTTTTTTTTGTTTGTTTGTGTCATTTAACAAAGCTTGCAGTCTTTCCTGAGACAACACCCTTCTGGGCTGTGCTGATAAAACATCCTTTTTAAAAAGCAAAAAGGAAACAGGACATCTGAAGAGAAGTCAATGTGAACATCACAGATAACAGATGTTTATCTCCAAGAAGCAATTTCAGGAAAGGCAAAGCTTCAGGGAAACAGCTTCCAAATGCCAGCTTTACTCACGAGGTTCTATACAGAGCAGCCTGGCTTGGCTCCAATGTGCCCAAAGGTCTCATTTCCTCACAGTAACCTCAAGCAAGGGTGCGTGTGGGCGGTGCTCGTTCTGGAGATGTTTGCTGTTTATCTGCTGCCCAGCTACTCATTCCTTGAATTTGGGACCAATCCTGGAAGTGCCAATCAGTTGGAGCTAGCACGTAGACTCATGGTCACCTATTTAAGCGCTACCCTAGCCCCACAGGAACTGCTCACAGAGAAGCAGCTCCCATACCATTTGATTTCAAAAACAGTCATAGTTTCAGTCATAGGACCAAATTCCAGTTCGGGAAGGCTCCTGAGAACTGCATCCCAGTGGTGGGTGGAGTCAAAAGTATTAGGGGGATGGCCCAAAGGCAAAAGGGCAGGGCCAAAATACCAGAAAGACCAGCATGTATCAGTATGAAACTCTCAACACTGGTAACTAAGCTTTAGGAGGGGTATTTTGATGTTTCAGGAAGGGGAAGGGAAATTTCCACAACAGCTGGAAAAGCCACCAAGGATTGAGGGTTGGGAGAATGGGATGGGGCCGAGGGAAAGGGGCCTGGCCATCTGGGGAACCCCAGAGGGGCAGACTGGGATCCCACCCCAGAACACATCAGTTTTGATCACTTCACCTGGGATTCTGCACCCCTACTGCAAAGTAATACTAGCCTAATCCACCTCACAGGGGTTTTGTTGTGAGGGAAAAATGGAGTGGAGAGGTATTTAAGCCACCCAGGGCTTTCACAAGAAGAAAAAAGGCAGGATATAAGTGTATTAATTATGATAATAAAATTGCAGTCTTTTCTAATCTGACACCCACCAGATAGGTTGGGACTACAGTTCCCATTAACTCCAGTGCTTTATTGATTGATTGATTGATTTTATATATTTAATGGCCACCCAGTAGCATCACACTCTCTGGGTGACCATTACAATAAAATTACAATAAAAAATAATATAATCAAAATACACAAAACAAAATAACATGCAAATAATCAACAACAACAAAACTTAAGTTAATAAAACTGGTGCAAACTGATGTAAAATAATCTAAGTGGTGCCATAAGTGCACTGGAAAAGGAACGTTTTTATCAGGAGCCTAAAGCTCAGCAGAGTAGGCACCTGACAAATCTGTGATGGTAAAACATTCCAGACTCGAGGTGCCACCACAGAAAAGGCCCTTCTCCTTGCAACCTCTCCCTTAAGCTCCTTAGGAGGAGAAACTCATAGGAGGGTCTCTGCTGATGACCTTAAATGATGAGCAGGAATATATGGAGTTAGGTGCTCTCTAAGAAATTGCTGTCTCAAGCCATTTAGGGCTTTGTATATTATAGTCAAGACCTTGGATTTTCACTAGGAAGGAATAGCACCATTTGGACTACAAAACAGGCTTGTTCTGAACTGGCCAGACCTCTTTTTAAAAGAAAAGATCTCTGGGTATTACAGCTATGGTAAACTAGCACAGATTTAAATCAGCTTACATGTGCCAGTGACCCAAGACCCTCTCATTTTCCAAAGATAAACTAATACGACAAAGCAAGAAGGTTCTCCCCATTTACCACAGGGCCTTTGGAAGACTATTTTCATTTTCCAAGATATGCCTGGTGGACATGAAATTCACTTCAACCAGGAAGGTCTGGAATTGAGTTATATTCTTGATGTAGTTTCACTGATTTGATTTCACTGTAAAATGGGTATAGCACCAATGGGATTGTTACTGCAAAACCCATTTGCAAACCAGAAATGCAATGTTATAAAATTCATTTTGTTACATGATCAGAACTTGTTAATTTTGGGGCTTTTCCGATGGACAAGCAGAACTAATTCTAGCAAATCATAAGTACAATACATTATTGTACAAATACAAACGATTCTGCCTCTCACGATTCTGACTGAACACCACATGCTTAAAAACAATGACTCTGGGAGGCTCCTAGAACAATAAAGGGGGATCACATAAAACAGCAATTACCCATTTATCTGTAATTGCCACCTGCTTCCCATTTTCCTGCACAACCATCCTGCGTGGGAGTATCCTATCTCACTGAAAACTCTAATTTTCCTAAGAGCATACTGCACTGTTTGCGCTGTTTTCCCAGTGGCTTTCTCAACAATGTTGGCGCATGCAGCTTTATTCTCCTTTTATACTCACCCCCACCTGGCGTTTCTCTAGCATCACCACTACACCCACATTTCTGCCTTGCTCTCTGTGTGAAGACTTTGTGAAACTCGCACTTAGAATAAGATTAATACATATTTGCATTGTGTGTATGCACACGCATGTGTGTAAACCTGGTCACCACCTAATAACTAAAGCATATGGCTTTTCATACATCAGATTCAATTCTAAACATGCCCAGTTAAAAAGATGGTACTTGGAAGTACCTGTGCCTCTTTGGCTTAAGACAAGTGGGTTAAACAGCAGGTCATGGCAGAGTTCATTTTTACTTTAAGTTGCTACATATTTGCCACATTGCTCTTGAAGTTTAAATATGTCTGAATTCAAAACAATACTTCTGGGCAACGCCCAGTCCAATAATATCCCATCCAGCAGTCACTGCCCACTTCTCAACAGAAGAGGTTGGGAAGAAAGATAATACATGTCTGCATATTTACTCCTCTCTCTGATGATTTCTCAGCTTCTAGTTTAGATTGTTGCATTGCCTATTATTAATGTAAAGCAATTTATTAAGACAACAGGAATGACAATATTTTATAGAAGATGCAATTCAAACATATGCCACATATAATCTAAATCAGTTGTTTTTAAAAATTGTCTTAAATCATTAAAAGAGGATTTACTGGAACAATGACACCTAAGTCCAGTATCCAGTTTTCTCTCCAACAAAAAGAAGTTGGTGTTTCTTTAAATTTTAATGTAGCTGTGGTCATAATGTTTTTAGATTTTACCTTTGGGTTATCAATGTCATTTGATGTTCTGTTACAGTATTTATTTTCTTTGTATTAGAAACTGAAAGTAAATTAACTTCTTTTTAAAAAAATAAATTGGTATCCACTTCATTTTGAAAACTAAGCCTTCCATTTGTTTCTATCAGCAGCAGGCACTCCCCAATCCTTAATCTGGCTTTTGAACTATAACTAGCTCATGCTTTGTCCTCAGAAAAGGGGCCTTTGGCAGCTTTTCTAATTGGTAATTTATATTGCAGCTGGCATTGTGTGACGGCTTCTTCATCTCCAGGCTCTGCATGAATAGTTCACCAAGCCTTAAAAAATTGGCTTCATTTCAAATAGTAACACCCACACACACACACAAAGTGCATTTCCTTGGGATGGTGAATATCTGAATATATAAAGATATGTACCAATCTGTTTTTGTTTACAGGCATTGGGACAATATTATCCCATGGCCAGCTGGAATTTCTGAAGTCAAGAAAGGTATCACAATAGCAGAGAAAGTACCAAGCTACATTTGAAACGAACACATTGCTATCTTCTTTGAAGTGTGAAGTGCATTTGCACTTCACAGATGCTATTAAGTTGAGATGAAATTCAGCTTCTAGCCATTTTGGAGTATTACACAAGCATCAGCATTCCTCATAAAATGATCATTCACTTATTCCAAAGCATGTATGCACTTATCTACATATCTATATATAGAGAGACATATAATACTGCTATAAAGAAAGTAAACATTTTCAATAGCTACACAATCACATAATCACTGAAATCATGGAGCAGAACAAGGCCTTGCTAATTTCCCAATGCCAAAAAAACTATGAGCCTGCATATAGTGTTGCTCTGAACATCAACCACGTACTTTCAACAAGGGCATATAGTATGTCTTATTTATAACATCCTTCACTTATTCTGTTCAGGTAACAACAGTATTACATATTACTGGAATTAAACAGCACATGTTTTAATTGGTTGTTCTGAAATTTGTGCTGTAAAAGTGGAATTGGCAGTTTCATTTTTTTAGAATATAAATGTGATACTGCATTAAACAACTGACCGCTAGTGTTTTACAAAAAACAACCGAATGAGCATCCGTTTTATTTTGGAAAACATTGGACTGATTCTTCAAGCACAGTCTTTACTGTCGCCTTGAGCAACTACTGCCATGTACGGAATTACAGACATACATTTGCCAAGGATGTAATGCTAATTCTTGTTGCCTCAAGTCACATAAAGCTTTCTACATTTCCAATAAAACTGTGGTCAAGGATGATGCTTGCACAGTATCAGTTCTCATAAAGTAGAAAAATAATTTATATAAAGGTGGCTGCTGCAATTATAGCTTTATCAATACAGGGCAACTGCACTTTGTAGCCCACATGAAGAATGCAAAAAACTCAAGCAATGCAGGTTCAGGACAAGTTGCCCCAAATATTAAGAACTCCACAGCACTTAATCGCCAGCTTCCCTCTTAAATAAAAACAAACATACTGAAAGAATGACTTACTTACCGCAAACACTACTAATCCACAGCAATGTAACCTGAAAGACAAACATGATTAGCTGCACATGCGATTTTGCACGATGTGTTTCAGTCAAGCCTTTTTCTTTTGTTTGAGGTTTCAGGGTGCTTTTAAATGGATCTCTTTTTTGGTGCAGGTGCCAGCAGATGTTAGAACTGCTCTAGGGAACCCATATCACAAGGGTGAACAACCTGTGACCCACAGTCTAATATCATAAACCCTCTGCAGACAAGTAGTGTAGCTGTCTGGCAAATGTGATCTGTCCTTCTCCCAGGCAGGCTGCCAGGAGGGGAAGAAGAGTGGGGCAGTGAGAAAGAGAAAAAAGGGAGTGCGCCTAATTTTGTCTCTGATCTCATCACTGGCTTGGCCTCACTCATAGTTGGTCTCTGACAGACTCTTCCAAAGGCATGACTGAAAAAAGGGGTCTACCCCAGCTGTGCAACATTTCAGTCTGAAGTCCCAAGGACAGAGTCCTAACACAGTAATGGAACATCTCCCAGGCACATGAGGGCAGGGAATTGAGAAGCTGTGAACTGTGTGATGTTGCTCTCCCGCTTCCAGCATCCTTTACCACTAGCTATGCTGGTTGTGACCAATGCAAGTTGGAGTCCTACACCAACACAGAGCTGCCAGCATCCCAACCCTCTACCAAAGGAGATTGAGCCCCAGGACTAATAGGGAAACTGGAGAATTCCTGATGACTTTAAAGAAAGATAATTCGAATCCTGTATCTATAACTAAACAAGTTCAATGAATATTCCCAACAGTTTTCTGCTTTCATATATCCCAGTCCAGTATAAGATCCCTAGGCATTACTTTGCTCATTAGGAAATCAGAGTATCATAATATGCAAGGGATTCATTTTCAGAAGCTGTCCCATAATGACTGACCCTTGACCTGCCATCTGCCAAAGTTCCAAGCTTCAAAATCAATAAGAGACCATAAAGGCATGCACCCTTCTTTACAGCTGCTGTGCTTTTTAAAATCCCTTGTCAACATAATTGAGTACAGTGGACACCATACTCTAAAGGACAACAGTCCCCTTGTTTTGCACTAGCAGGGCAACCTCTCTCTCTTTCTCTGTCCTCCTCCCTTTTCGTATTCTTGTGGAGCAACAGCGCAAAAGCTGGTCATTTACATCAGAGATAAAGATTTATTTTACTTTTCTTTTAAAGCATTTATATCCTGCCTATTCTCCAAGAAGTTCTGCGTAGCTCGTGACAATTCAGTCTTTAACTGTTTACCAACCAGCCAATCTTTTCATGTCTGCTGGCATTCCTGCAAAGAGGGCTAGATTATATGCTTCTCGGCACCAGGTCAAGACCTTTTTATTTTTCTGTACTTTTAATGTTTAATTTTAAATATGTTTTTATGCTCAGTTTGTGGATTATTTGTATTACTTGGGTACATATGTATTTATTGGATTTGAATTGTAAGCCATCCAGAGACCCACTGGGAATTGGAGGGGGAAAAATACCCAAATAAGTAAAAAATTATGTCGGGTTTATCAAGATTTCCCTTACTAAGCTAGTGCTAATTGCTTACTCTTGTATTATAAGCCTGTAAACATTTTGGTTGGCCACAGGGATTCTAGGAAACAAAATAACTAGCTAACCTAAGCCAGAGATTTGTTTACTCCTGCTTTATACAAGGTTATTTATTTATTTATTTAAATTTTTTATATGTCGTCCCTTACGCATGGCATCTCAGGACGGTTTACAATCATTAAACAACCACAATAAAACAGCAATAAATAGCAACTAACCAAAAAACACACAAATTAAATAAGTTAAATTTATACTCAAAGGTTGCTGTTTTCTTAGTTTGTTTGCCCTGCATAAAAGAGAACTCTGCTTAATTATGATTATGACAGCATGATCGCATACATGCCTACTTCAAAGAAAGCATCATTCAGTTCCTGGGCTGAGACAACAGGCTGATGGGTCATCATGTTATATGAACCTAGCTATGTTAACAAGCCATAGCAGCACTGACTATAAACAATCTATACTGCTGGGTTGTGAATTGTGGGTATTTCACCATCATCTGTTATCTCCACTGGGTTCAGGCAACACAATAACCAATTTTGCAGGAACAACAACAACCCATATTAAAACTGCTGAGCATGGGTAATTCTATTGCTTCAACTCCATCAGAGACTTACTCCCAGGCAAATGTGCTTATGACTAAAGCTGAGGTGGGTGTGACTGCCCTGTTACCCAGGTATGTCCAACTGTCCAACCTAAAATTAGAGCTTGGAAACAAGCTTGAGGCAGGGACTTCCTTTTCTTCCTTCCTTTTTGCTTAGTTATTCCCTAAAAGTGCTACCCTATTCTCATGGCTTCAGAAGCCCACTTTTTACGACCACAGTGCCAAGGAAAGCTATTAAGAGCCCTTGAACTGCCTTCTCTCTTCAACACACCTACCATCTCATTTTCTTGGTTCCTACAATCTGATCATGTAGCTTTTCTAAGTTAGCCATGAGCAGCAAAAAAGCAGGGTGAAGCTAGAAGCAAACGTTGCATTTCCCAAATAACCCAGGCAACAAAGATGAACAAGCAGAAGTAAACACAGTAACCTCTTCATACTTCTCTGCAAAGTGGTTACAGATGGCCAAGGTCCAATCCCATGAAACATCATGGTAAACCCACTTTGCACCAAAATGTAAACCAAAACTTAAACAGGCTACATTTCTCTTTGTAACCAGTGGTTAAATTATTTCATATTACAGGGAAGAAGGAAGTATGTAAAAGAAGAGAAAACACATGAAAAACAAACAGGAAAGCAAAATATTTAATTTTCTCCACAGGACTGTGTGTCCGTCTGTCCACACATGCATTAGCAGAGAGGAGAAGCACAACATGAATCCTTCTACAGGTTTGCAAACATTCAAATAAGTGCTCTAGGGACAGACAGAATTAATAATAAGCCCGATAAGCTGTGTTGCTAGTGTAACATCACAGACCTATGCTTTCCTACTCATTGGAACAGACTGTGCAGTAAGTATGCACAGGACTGCGGAAAGTTCTAGAAGTACATCCTTCACACTCGAGGGAACTTACTTCTGAATAAGCATGCATAAGGTTACACGGCAGCTCTCCTTTCATGTCAGAAGGCTGCAACTGGAAACAGTTCATGATTTCCAACTAAAACGTGATCTGCAAAACAAGAGAGTCTTCTAGACAAATTCATGGCAGAACAGGTTATCAATGGCTACTCGTCAGGATGGCTATATATCACCTCCAGCATCGGAGGCAAAACGCCTGCGAATCCCCGTTGCTGGGGAACCGCAGCAGCGGGAGAGGCCTCCTGACCTGACCGTATGGATGGCCATTTGGAGAACAGCACCAGACAGGCCTGTGCTCTCACCCAGCATGGCTCTTCCGCTGATCAGAGCACATTCAGATGCTTTGCAGGCTCTTTTACCAGTTCATGTATTTGAAGCTGCATTCTTGTCGCTTCCAATTTTTGCAATTTAAGCAGACTGATATGTTTAACGTGGCAATATTCCATTAAAAACATTGATTCTTACGGCATCTTAACGACGAACTAACGTATTAGGGCCTCACTGGACGCTACAAATATTATCTTATACCCTCATACATTTGTTAGTCTTTAAGGTGTCCCAAGATGCTTAGTTGGTTTCTATGTACAGCCCAACGGGGCTGTCCATTCTGGAAATTCTTTCGTTTCCCAGAGTTACTTCGGAGTCATGGGATGCGAAGGGAGGATGAGACTCCACTTTGTCTTTGCAGCTAAAAGTTTGAAAAGGAGCTCTTAAGGGCACGGAGCAGCAGCCCTGGGCAACTGAGAAGAGAGCCCGGAGCCTCTCGCTCTTTTTTCCAGCATTCTGTTCAAAAACCGTCCGCCCCGCGCCGAAAAAGACAGAGGAAAAGATACAGGAGAAAAGCGTGGAGTGCCGAGAGCCAGAAACAATCTGAGTGGCGGCTGCCGCCCCTTAGATACCGGACAACAAAGGCAGTAGCAACCGGCTCCCCACTTCCCGCAGCGCGCCCGCGCCTACCTGGCAGCGCCAGCCCTCGACTCCGTGCCGCCTCTGGCGAGAAGGCGCCCCGGCGGAGCATCGCTCTGCTGCAAGCCGCGCGGCACGCGCTCCACCGCCCCATCCTGCAACAAGTGAAGCGACCTTCGGAGGCTTGCCCAAGCCGGCGCCGCGAGGGCCGCCCCCTCTCGTGCGTCACGCGGAGGCTGGTCTAGACTCTCGGCTTCTCCCGAGCTTTCTCGGCTGCTTTCGGGAGACTCCGAGAGCCGCGCCCGATGCGAAGCGAGCTGCCGCTCTTCGACTTGCCGCGGCCTTCGAGCACGTGGTGCGGAAAGCTGCGCGGCGGAGCAGGCGCTTGGCGTGGAAGGCTTCGCCGTCTGAGTCCTCGCCTTCTTCTCCGAGCAGGCAGGCCACTGCCCGAAATGCCAGAGGCACCTTCCTCAACGGGAATCCTCCAGATAGATTGGGACTACAACTCCCAGGCTCCCCCAACGGGTAACGTGTCAACTCACCCAACAAGTTCTCATTCGCCAGCCTTTTGCCACTTTATTCTCCATACACGACGACACTGTTGGAAGCAGAAGGTTTTTAACAAGACCTGACAATCTCTATAGAAAGTATTTGTTTTAGCTCACGTTAAGTAGCAAAACTGGACTGAACCAACAGAAGCACAATAAAGCGTGTTCAGAAAGCATGTACAGAACCCTGTCAGATGCAGCTTGTAAAAAGAATCCTAGAACGTGCAAATGTGAAACTGCATTCGGGCTGCTCAGCTGAGCTTTAGATGGTTCAAGCTGTAAGCATGCATTATGAATGGCGCATTAATCTTCTTACATGATGGAGGCTACTCATCCTTTGCGGACTAATTGAATGCTATGCATGCTCATATCTCATCCATAGGCACACAGCAAGAAATAATGACATGAGAGTATTTACACATTTCAAAATATACCATGTGCTGCACCTTAGCAAATGATGTGGGGTTGACTGGGGTTTTGGATGGTTATGGCTATAGCAGGTCTCTAATCAAAGATAGAAGCCTCTAAATACTAATTTCAGGGAGCAACATGGGCACAGGCATTGCCTTCATACAATTTAGGGATTTGCCTGAAAGCAGCTGGCCATTGTGAGAAATATGAAGGTGGACTAAATAACTGCAACTTTTGAGTTCTTGAATCTTGATGGGATAATTGCGAATCCAAAAAAATTTTCTCCTTATTGTTTTTCCATTCAGATACATGAAGTAAAGCAGTATTTTATTCGCTTAAAATGTTTATATTCCTGCCTTTCAACAGCCTGTAGCTGATCCAGTGAATTAAATCTAGTCCTGTCTCATGCAAGCAGAAGGACTCCTCGTTCCTGGAAGCCAAGATCCAGGGGATGCTGCCCACTGGAGGGCAAAGTCAGGGAGAAAGCTTTGCCAGTCCCTTCTCTAAGTGTTACCTCCCATTCTGTTCTGGAGTAATCAGCAAAGAAAGGAGGAATCAGCAGAAATTGCCTGGCTGTTGCCTTCTTTAGAACAAAGGGAACTCTTCTGAGCACAAGTTTAGCACTCGTTTCCTAATAGGAACAGCTCTGCTGAAAACAGCAAAAATGTGTATAATCTGCAGAAAACTTTTTCTTCCAAACTCGACAAGGAACAAGATTCAGAAATTTACATTAATAATTTTGTCTTTTACATTTACAAAAAGATTAGTTTGTTGTTGTTGAGATGCTTTTGAAATCAGATTTCATAACAAAGGGTATTTGTCAGAAATAAAATGGAGGGATAAAAGAATTGAGAAGCAGCTGTATCATAGCCTCTAGCCAAGTTTCCTTGTAATGAATAAAATGAGCTAGGCAGATTTGATGGCAGGATTGGGCATACATGTAGCATACTCTTCACTCATCTGTTGCCCTTCTGATGTGCTGGATTGAAGATGCTGGGAACTGTTACCCAGCCCATATTGGGGGTACCAGGTTAAGGAAGCCTGATGTAGACCAGAAGTGGGCAGACAGTAGATCTCCAACTTCCAGCAGACCTTACCAGCATGCCTACTGACATTCTGGAAATCATTTCTGATGTAAACAACACAACTACAAATCCTGAACATAGTAAGACTTAGCTCTGAGCAAGGCTGCACTGTTTAGCCAATTAAAGAGTAGTTTCCCAGTGGTCAAATTGTTTCAGAAAATTAAGTTTATCTATACTTACATCTAAGTGGCATTTTAGATGAGACATTTCTCTTCCACCTTTCCCTTGCAAAACAGGGTACATCTACATTAGCAGATAACCGCCCAACCTCCAAGCAGGTCACATTGAAGCTTTGTTGCTTTCCTTGCTCCACACGTCACACCCACCTGATCAATAGCTGCTGTGCCAATACATCTTAATACTCATCTGGATGGTGTCAGGTTGGGAAAGCTGTCACCCTCCAGATGTTATTGGCTCCAACTCCCATCATCCCAGACCACAGAACAGACTGACTTGGGCTGATGTACACTGGAACAACTTTTGGAGGAACCAAGGTTCCCCATCCCTGTCCTGAAGGTATCTCACCATGCAACTCTGCAAATCAGTTCTACGGCATTGGGGGATGCCTGCTGCATAATAGCTAGTCGCATAACCAATAGCTCTTCCGTGCAATTTTAATTCTTGCAATAGATTATTTCTCCAAGCAACCAGCCTCCATCACCAAATGACCATGGATTCTTGTCAGAATACTAGGATGGAACTAAAATGGGAGAAATCTGTTCTCTCATGTACCCTGCCTCCTGTGTCCAGTCATGCAATTTTACAGGTATTGGAATTCTGCAGAAAGCTATGATACTACTGCTGTCTCAAATGTCCTTTTTCAAGAACGTATCTCTGCCTTAATTTGCCACATTTATAGTAAGGGAAATGTCACTGGAATTCAGACAGAAAACAAAGCAGACAAGTATAATAAAATGGTTAAATGCAAAATGCAGAAAACAGGAAAGCTATATTCATTTACTCTTGAATCACACATTAACATGGCTGTACCTTTACACAGGCTTTATATTATTTGTAGCTTATAATATAAGCTTATAATACTGCATACAGTATTATAATTTGTTGAAACTAACATGATTACAATAATTTTTCTATTACACAATGATGGAGTTCTTTTCCCCTAAGGTTGTTCCATATAGACAATCTCCTAGTTTGTTTTTAGCAGGTGCATTCTGGTCTGGTAGAAAATAAGATCTTTGTCTTACAAACTAAGGTGAGACAATGTGCAGGGTGTCCATATGGCCATCTATATCTTCCAAGAGCTAATAATCTGCTTCAGAAGTAGGCTTTTTGCTGGTTCTGTATAAGCAGATGGCAGCATAGCAGCACTGAACAATACAACACAAGCATTACATCCTAGATATTGGTAGTGGTGGTTCAGGCAGAGTGGGGTGGGGGACTTAACCTATTCCAATTTGGAAATCATTCACTTTTTTATTTAATAAGCAGACTGGATGGGTAGGGAAAATTGCATGAGTTTTCCTGAAGACAGTATAGAGCTGAGGGTAGTAGTGATTCAAATCCCCTCCCCTCAGCACTGTGAAACCACTTTGTCACATTTTTAAAGGAGATGTTTGATCAGTCAAATGCATAAGCTTTGCAATGAGTGACTCCTTTGAAGCAGTTGCTTGCAGGACCAAAATGAATGTGTCCCACTTTGTACCAGCTGATGGTCCTGTTGCAATCACAGCACTTCCTCTCTGTCAACCTCTGCACGGTACAACTAAACTTTCCTAAATATCATGTCTTCAATGAGACATGGCTGTAGCAATCAATTCAGTGATTCTCTACTTGGTTATTCATCAGACCAAAAGCATGGAACAACAGTTTAAAAATGCAACATGGCTTCCCAGTGGCAAGCAGTATTTGAAAGACAGGTCAGACAGGAAGTGACTTTGACCTCAACAGAGCAAAGTAAAGTTTACTTTGCATCAAATACATTTCAGTCAGAGAAGTCTACCATATAATTCATAAACTGACAGTTAAAATAGTGTGCCTTTTTGCAATCTCTGTAGTGAAATCTATCACACAAGACACCTGCCTTAAAATTTAAGAAAATAAAAAACCAAATATTGAATATAAGCATACGATATGCTAACAATAACACAAAAAGGAATAGAGCCTAATTGAAATAGACTAATTCATGTAAGGAGCATCAGCAAAGGGCAATAGCTTTGACCTAGTCTTTGGCCTATATTTGAACTGGATCACTTTTGACTGTAGGGAAGGACGTGAACATGGCTGAATACTCATCTATTACAATAAAATAGAAT